GAGCAGGGTGCGGAGCAGCACAGATATCGCACGGCCAGACCCGCTGGCAAGGCCGCTCCAGCACCCGAGAGCCTTGGCTGCCTGCGGGGACCAGAAGCTGCAGGTCTGGGACGGCTCTGGCTGGGTGGCCGCAGGGGGACACAGCATGGCACGGCCAGAGAGGCCGATTCGTACGGACCTGCGGGCGGATCGCACGCGTGTGCCCACTCACACGGCCCGGGAGCCTCCCCCAGCACCACCCTTGCTGCGTCCCGGCCCAGCTCCCCCACCAGCACTGAGGGCTGGAGCTCCTGGCCGCTCACAAGACCCCGATGCCTGGAAAACACCAACCCACCCCATAATCCATGCACCCGTCTTCACTCCTCGTCTTTCCTGCTTGCGAGTTCTTGGCAAAAGCCACAAACCTGCTGAAGGCCCAAAGGTGGACGGGGACTGAGTTGGGGAGCAGGGGCGGGAAAGGCAGGAGTGGAGGGCTGGGGTTCCCTAGCCCGTAGAGCCCTGAGCTGCCACCCAGCAGCCTGGTGCCCAGGGGAGGGAAGGTCTGGGGCGGCAGGAGCACTGAGACAGGGCAGCTTTCCTGCATTTCAGGAACACCCAAACTTTTCAGGGCAGCAAACAGCAGCTCTGGGAGGGAGGGAGCGAGTGAAAGCCCTGCGGCTCCCGGTGCAGCTTGCAGACAATCTGCTGCCTGGAGGGATGGTCCCCAGCTGCCCTGGGAGCGCTGCCCTGCCTGCCCTGTGGCACACGGCTGCCGTGCCCTCGGGAAGAGCCGGAGCGGGAGCCGAGCGACGTCGACGCAGCGCGACGCAGCAGCCCCTGCGCTGCAGCCCCTGCGCTGCGAGTCCTGCGCCGTGCCCAGGACAGGCGAGCTGCGGCCTTGCACCTTGCCATGGGGACAGGGCAGGTTGGAGCTGCGCCGCGGGGACGTGTTGGCTCAGCGCCGCTCCACGGAGGTAGGACAGACCAGAGCTGCTCCATGGGGGCACGACAAGTCAGAGCTGCTCCTTGGGGATGCGGCAGTTCGGAGCTGCTCTGTGGGGATGCGGCTGGTTGGAGCTCATCTGCCGGGATACGGAGGGTTGGAGCTGATCCATAGGGATATGCTGGTGGGAGCTGATACACAGGGATATGGCGGGTCAGAGCTGATCCACAGGGATACGGCGGGTCGGAGCTGATCCACAGGGATATGGCGGGTCGGAGCTGATCCACAGGGATATGGCGGGTCAGAGCTGATCCACAGGGATACGGCGGGTCGGAGCTGATCCACAGGGATATGGCGGGTCGGAGCTGATCCACAGGGATATGGCGGGTCAGAGCTGATCCACAGGGATACGGCGGGTCGGAGCTGATCCACAGGGATATGGCGGGTCGGAGCTGATCCACAGGGATATGGCGGGTCAGAGCTGATCCACAGGGATATGGCGGGTCGGCGCCCGCTCCAGCAGCTCCCCATTGCTCTGCTCTGCCTGGACAGCTCGCCTGACCTGTCCTTGCTGTGCAGAACCAGCCTCGTGTTGCTCCAGCCCGAGCCCGCGTGGTGCAGAGCGCTGCAGGCCACTCAGGGCACATGTCCCGCTGCTGCAGTGTGCACACCGCGCACACCGGGCACCCTGCACACACACTGCACACACTGCGCACACTGCGCACACTGCACACACTGCACACACTGTACACACCGGGCACACCGTTCCCACCATGCACACCGTTCCCACGGCACACATTGTGTGCACACCAGGCACACTAAGCACCCACACACACTGCACGGCCACTGCCCAGGCCGGGCACGGCTGTGTCTGCTCCTGCCGGTTCCCATCCTGTGCTGCCCGGCTCTGCCAGGCTCTCCGATCTGGTGCTGGCCCCGGACGCGGCACTGCCAGGTCCCCTGCTCCTGCTCAGCCCTGGCAGCCCCGTCCCCTGCCCAGCACCAACACAACGAATGCCCAGGGCATCGCCACGTGCCCCTGCCCCCTGCCCAGCACGGCCTGGTCCCCCTGCCCGTCCCCACGTCCCCTGCCCGGCACCGGGGAGCACAGCAGAGCGCTGGGAGCCCGACTGCTGCACGTGGCCCCCCTTCCCCTGCTCAGCGCCACAGAAACACGTGTAAAACCATGACACTGACTTTGCCTCTAATTAGCCCTTAATTTACAAGACACACTCGGAAGGGTAATTAGCTGGCGCTCCGCTCCCAACTGCCGCATCCATCTCTCCTTGCTCCTTGTGGGAGGGAACGGCTGCGTGGGAGCAGGGGCGACGCCGCTCTCCTGGGATGGGGATGGGGATGGGGACGGGCTGCCCGTGCGCTCAGCTGGCTCTGACGCCCTGTGCTTGTGGCCCAGCCCTCAGGAGCACCCGGCTCCGTTGGGAGAGCACAGGATGCCCAGCCCAAGCCTGGGGCTGCCTGGCCGCAGTGTCCATGCAGCTCTGCTTCCCGCTCACCCCAGGGCCCGGCCGGATGGTCCCAGCAGGGCCAGAGCCCTCGGGAACAGCATCCCTGCGGATGCCACCACCACCGTCCATCGCTTGCTGCGTCGTCCCTAAGGGTTGGGGAAGAGTGAAGGCTACAGGTAAGATTCTGCTGCCCTCTCTGAGCCAAAGCCCAGGACAGACCCGAGCTCTCTGACCTTGCTCAGCCCCAAGGCAAGCTCTTCCCATCACGGTTTCCTCCAGATCTTCCTGCGGACATGCTGTGTGATGCCAGCAGCAGGCCAGGCTTCAGGATGCCCTTTGAGGCAAAGCCCCATCGACTACCTGGCAGTAAACCCACTTTTCTAAGAGTGGACCAGGCAGTACGGCCAGGACTGCTCCGCATGGGGCAAACAGAAACCTCAGTGACGCGTGGGTGCACACAGACCCGGGCAAGGCGGGTTAACAGCCAGGGGCCTCATCCCATGGCACGGGGATCATTTGCAGAGTCACTCGAGGACCTCTGGACAAATCTAATTTAACATTTTCAACAGAGATTTGGGCAAAACAGTGTGTGTCCTGGTGAGATTTCCCTGTGACATTAAGGTGGAAGCACTGCTGGTACTAAGAGGATGAAGACATCATACAGGACTGTTCCGCTTTGAAAAGTGAGGTTAAAAAAAAAAGGCAACAAAATTTAGCTAGCAGAGTGCAAAAGATGTGCCCTTGAACTAATGGGCCGGATTCAAAAAGCTCCGGGGAAGCACCCTCTGGTTTGCGTGGGATTTGGACCACGCTGCTGCGCCAAGCTCTGTGCTGAGCAGGAGCTCCTCAGCTGCAAACCCCACGGAGGAGGAGATCTGCAATCACTGGTCACAGCTGGACTAGGTCCCAGCATCAGCACAGCCATAGAGCCAAATGTGACCCCAAACGCACAAGGAGAGATCACGTCTTGCAGAGCCGGGACGCACACACAGCTCCTGCACCAGTGGGGCAACACCTCGCGTGCAGCCTCAAACACCCCCTGCCCACAAATAAGTCAATTGGAGGGGAACAATTGAAGGTGAATCCATCCCTACTAACCCTTCTGTTCTAACCCCTCATCCTGCATCGCACTGTCCGAGCTAACAGAGACTGCCTGTGGCAACACCATGAAGCGAGCGGCTCTTCCAAGATCCTCCTGACTAGGAGCCACACAGAAACCTGCGCTGCTTCCCTCAGCAGAGGAATGTGCCTGCTCTCCCCAGCACCGGCCACATCCTGACGAGGAAATCAATCCCGCTCCGCTGCCCACGTGCGGCCCCGCGGGCAGGGAGGGCTGCCATCTGCCACGGCCAGGACACGGAAGAGAAACTGCCGGCAGCTCTCAGGGATGCGCTGCACGCAGGGATACGCTCCCTGCGCCAGCGGACACGGGACAGACACTGGGATCACTGTCTGCTCCAGCCTCTTCGCTGCGTCTGGGGCTGTCAGCCAGAGACTCTGCCACGCATCCCCGAAAGGGGACAGGGCCATGCAGGCTCATCCTGCCCTGACCAACAAACAGCAGCAGACTGCAACGTAGAGACGCCCTCGCGTCGTTAGACTCCCTGCCTGCTGTAGCTCAAAGGAGCAACTCTCTCTTGCTGGATTTATTCCCTGTTTAAGGGTGGTCAGCAAGACACCAGGTCAGATGGTGGGGAAATGCTGCACAGTCTGTGCTCCATCACACCAGCTGCTTGGCCTCAATCAGGATGGCCTGGCTGCAGCTGAGCAGGGCACAGGTGAGGCTGGTAGAGGAGATGCTTTGAAAAGCTTGCTGCTACAGCAAAATCCAAAGGCCAACACTAAGGATGCACCACTGCTGTCTAGAGCTGGTCTCAGCCTCGGTGTCTTCACTGATGCCGTGTTCTGGCACAGCTCGGTCAGTCACGGATGAGTCGTTGTTTCTGTCTCAGCAAGGAGGCTTGGCCTCACCTCATGGACAGGACTTGGCCTCAGCTGTTCACAGTCCCATCACTTCTCAGCTGGGTTATCCCAACACACTCTGTATCTGTGCAGGAAGCTACCACCAGCACAGAGCGATGCAGGGAGGGCATGTGGCTTCTGGCTATTCCTTGAGAAAAAGATAAGAGGCTGGTTGGGTGCTTGGTCTGCCTCAGTCAGGAGCACAGGAGGCGGCAGATTTGGTGGGAGCCGCAGGAGGAGGCACGTGGAAACTGCTCTGCTGCACAAAGGCTGCAGGCTGGACAGTGTAAGGCGGTGATGGAGGACCCCCCGAGGTCACCCAGGCACTAGGGGAACCCCGTGTTCCTTCATGCTGCAGCACGCTGAGCGCCCGCACAGC